ATAAATCCTCATAACGTTGATACCATGTGTCAAAAGTGACATTAGCCTCTGGGTCATAATTGAACTGTGAAATACTGTTCACAATGCCGTCGACAGATGGTAGCATGGTATGATTGGGATTGCTTGAAGGTGGAGCTGGACCAGTCTGTTGGTTGACGAACATTTCCATTAATTTCATTTGTCGTTCAAACAATAATTCCAATTTAATAGGATCCATAGTAAATTGTTATGTTGTTGCTGCTGAGTGGTTAATAGTAGTTTTTCCCGTCGCCAAATTGTTATGTACTCGTCGCCAAATTGTTATGTCCCCATCGCCAAATTGTTATGTACTCGTCGCTGAATTATTGTTATGGACTGGTCGAGAAACTAATAGTCCTGACGCGAGAAGGCGGAAATCAGAAGACCACTAGGTTTGCGATGATACTTCTATTGTCCAAACACAAGGAGACGAAAATAAATGGTCTCACACCAAAGTGGTAAGTAAGTAAAGTAGTTGTAAAGTAAAGTAGTTCACACAAATTGTGAATGCGAATATATATAAATAATTCAGACAAGCGTGGGAAAAATCATTAGACAGTCTTAACATGAATGGCTAATTATAATGGAGTGTCGATCCAATTATACATAGCGAATATAGCAGACATGCCAACAAACATATATGGATATATGTCACCAAGCAACGGACTGTCAACAAACACTCATATTATATATAATATAATATAAGGAGAATACACATTATTAAAGGAGACAAGTTCATACAAGTGAAGTGGTCACAGACTAACCGAGCAAACAGAAAGAGAGACCAACATGCACACACACACATAAATATATATATGTGGATACATATCAGAAGCGTCGTTTCAACTACAAGCAGAGGGAACTGACGAGGATATCAAAGCAAGACAAGCTTTCATTTCTCTCAAGTCTATGTGGAGGTCAACAGCACTCACCATCAAAAATAAGATCCTGACTTTCAACTCTAATGTGAAGTCAGTGCTACTTACTACACGGATCAGAGACTTGGCGCGTCATAAAAAGCACCTCAAACAAACTACAGACCTTCATCAACAGCTAGCTTTCTTCGCTCAATACTACTCAAGATCAGATGGCAGAAAAGATCAGGAACAGGGATCTCTGGTGGTGAGCGAACCAACCCAGCAGGAACCGACAGTGCAACAAATAGGCAGGAAGAAATAGAGGTGGATTGGTTGGCCATACTCTGAGGAAACCATCACTAGACAGGCCACCCGAATAGGAAGCGGCGAGTTGGTCGTCAGTGCTAGGATGACATGGAGGAAGCGGTCATGTGAAGAGGAGATGAAAGCGTATGGGCAGATGGAGGGAGCCAGATGAATACGTTAGCAGAGAACCGAAGGCAATGGAGACGCTCAACTGAAGCCCTATGTTCCTCTAGAAATTAAAGGTAATAATAGTAGTAATTCGTCCTTTCACTTGTGCGAGGAACTTCATCATCCTTCGCGTGGAAGCAGTAAATAAGATTTGTTTGACAGAGGCTATGAACTCGTGTGGCCACATGATAGGATTCCGAGAAGAAGATCAAAGTCTACCTACAGGTCTTTTATTGATTGATACTGACTGTCCAAATGGGATAACCACCTTCCCTCTTTTCTGGGCTTATTAACCCGGCTAGTTAACGTTTAGGATCGCATCTGGACCCGCTGCATGTTTAGTGAACATTCTACCAAAGGACCACCGGTGTTAAATGTCATGCGGATGATTCCATTATAGATAAGATTTTTATTTTGATAAATCGCACAGTGTTTACAGTTATATGAACTGATGACGTTTCGAGCACAATTTATTGCTCATAATCATATCAAGGTAATCACACGACTTCCTAAATTCATTTATATAGTTCCATTGTTTTTCTCTTGATTTTCACTTGATTTGATTGGTAATAGTATTTTCCATATTTCAGGTATGAGTGACGAGTCATTCCTATTGCATGTGTTGGGTGTAGACTCGATGAACAATGGAACTATATAAATGAATTTAGGAAGTCGTGTGATTACCTTGATATGATTATGAGCAATAAATTGTGCTCGAAACGTCATCAGTTCATATAACTGTAAACACTGTGCGATTTATCAAAATAAAAATCTTATCTATAATGGAATTATACTCTACCACAGTGCCCAAGTTTTATACTTATGTCATGCGGATGCCCTCTAAATGTGCAATTCATGTTTAATGATGCTATATACTGACAAAGAGATCAGATCTCCCTAAGGTGCATTGGTGCTAGCAGGTTATTTCATGGCAAGCCTAAGTCAACTATTGATAATTTTCAATTGGATTCTAGATTTGTGGATGGCGTCTTTATTATCGGTGTTGACAGTCATGATTTCAGTCACAGTTGTTACAGATATTGAACAACTGTCATCAAGCAACAAAGTTTACTCTTGAAATATAAAATGAATCTAAAATCCCCTTTCTTGGTGTGAAACTTACAAGGACAACCGACGGAACAGCTAACTGACAAGTTTCCACAGTTAGTCGTACACAAAACCTAACTTTACCTCTTGCTATTCGCGTCAGATGCATTTGATACTCTGGAAGAACTACACTTCTTGAAAGAGATCTCTATTCAAGATAGATATCCACGAAGGTTTATTAGCAAGAACATCAAGTCGACGTCATCCCTACCAAAAACACAAACTTCACATGAACCTCGACTTTGAAGGCCACCTACTAATCCATTGGTATCCTTTAGAGGAGAATTTCGGCGTTTTTAAACGTAGTGTTCTCAAGTCGCCCACTGATCTGCAGAGGACAAGATTTTGCAACTGACCAATTTTCTATGTGTGAATCAGTTCACCTGTTGCTGTGGTGCCAGGTACATTGACTGTTCGACGCGTATCTTGTCTAAAAGGGTTCAAGAACACCTTATCAAACACCACTAGTCATTCCGTCTCAACAAACGCCTCCTCCAAAATAGTCGACAAAGTGAAGAATAACAACCTGTCACAAAGGCAATATGCTTTCGTCTCCTTTCCACTGCCATTCAGATAGAAAAACCAGAGTTATGTATCCAAAAGAAATTCAGCGACTTAAACCATCATGGTAATAACCTTGTTCATTTTGGGAAAGGCCAAATAAAATCTATAAGAAGTCCTGTCTTGGCCTATTTGATTGATAGCGGTCACCGAGTGTACAAAAATAGTGCCTTCAAAGTTATCTATCGCCTTCTAAGGAGCCTTGCCTTTCGAATGGAATTCGAACGCGTCTTTTACACACAGCCGAAGCTGCTATGAGAATTAATTCGACAGAACAATCCTAGTCTTTGCATACAACAAAAGAAATTTGTTCTACCTTTGTCTCTCCTTTGCCTGGCCTAGCTGAATTCTATTCGAAGCCCTCCCACCCTTTCTTATTTTCCATCTCCTTCGTACTTTTATGATATTTATTTAAACTCTGATTATCTGTCCACTTCACCTTTAGTATTACGTAACTTTTAAAATTTGACCTAATTTATTTATTTATTGAATTGTCTACATATATATACACATATTACTACCTTTGCTATTCTTATCGCATCCTAATCACAAGTCACTCATTGAACTATTCACCTTATTAGGTTAACTGTGATACATTTATTCAACATCCAAATACATATACTTACTAATATTAACAACTATGCTTGTGACAACTCATCACTTCTGTTACTACCCTGTTTCGTTGCGAAATGGTATATGCATACGATTGTACAGCTAGAGCTCATCAGTCCACTCCGTCCTCCTTTATGGCTAATTGTGAGACCTGGCCATTGATAGTGGAAGACATGAAAAGGTCAGTTAGCTGTCTTCGATCATAGGTGCTTGCGTTCTATTTCCCATGTGAAGTGGTATAGTAAGGCGAGCAATATTGAGGTTAGGCTGTGGTCGAGTGGTAGGTAAGGAGGGGAAATCAATCGACGAGGTTGTGAAGTTACATCGACTGAGGTGGTTAGGACATGTGCTACGTATGTCTAGTCATCGCCTTCCTCGATGGGCAGTGTTACCTGATATAGGGTCAGGCTGGAAAAGAACTAGCCAGCTGCGGTGAAACCAAAACATGGCTTCATCAGTCAATGAAATCTACAACAGTTAGTCTAAGCGACATAGGAAAGTGTAGACTGCCAATGTGGTTGGGGTCCTCGGGACGTTAAAAACCAATGGTTGGAAACAATTGGTGACATGGCTCAAAATCGTTCTCAATGGCTGGTGCAGATGCATCCACTCCTTGTGACTTATGATTTCCAATGAAACTACATTGTTCTTCGTTACTACTATTCCTTTGTCTCACACCTCTGTTTACTGTCTTTATTATGCATTTCGTCTACTTTTTTCTCTTGGTTTGTGTGCTACATGGAGGGAGTGTGGTGACTTGAACTGCCGCACATCGGTGCAAAGTTCTACGTCGAAAACAGACAGACTATAGTGAAGACTAAATGGCCAACCAGCCAGCCAGCTAGAAAAAATTTGCAACAAGGAACTCTAGTTGGCGACGAACTAACCAAGAGCTGATTGCCCAGAAAATATACGGTGAGAAATGGAGATGGATAAGGCATACGTCACTGAGAAGGCCGTCGCGCTTAATTCAAACCATTTCTCGATTGGGATTCCCATAAGGAAACGACGAGTGGGGCGTCGGTGCGAGATTGACACAGAGAAGATCGTTTGGGGAGGAGGAGGCGATGAGGGACTAGGGTCAATACTAGACCCAGCTGAAGAGGACAGCAGAAAATAGAACAAAGCGAGGATGTGTTGTTGAAGCCCTGTGTTCCACTCGGAACCAAAAGGAATAATAATAATACTAGTCTTCGAATGGAAATTTTCCATGAATTATTCAATTTTCTTTACAATCAAATCTTTAATTATGAAGTGAAAAACAAAAACTATCATAACTGTGAATTCATATTGTTGTTGTTGTTGTTTTTTTTAATACAAAGACGACTTCGAAAAATGTTTTCAAAGAAGTGTTTTTATTGTTTTACGGTATCACGGTATCGCTGCTAGATAGTCTTTCACTTCATCTGTTGTTAATACTCGAAAACCGCTTTCATTGCATACACCAACTTCAATATTATTCTCTGTCATTTGTCCTTCGAAACTTTCTTTCAATGTCAAGATAGCTGCATGCGTAGCATCTTCTAACTCCAAATTTTCATTATAGCTGGCAGAAAAAATTAAATAGAAAAAGTAAGTCATTAAAATTTATCAAAAATGAAAAAAGTTGACTGCTTGTAGTATTAGCGTGTGTAAGACAAAACTGATGACTTTTGCATTAGAGACAATATACAATAATGTGGTTTGAATACAACTGACTAATTTTGTGCACTTCTATACATTATACTGATATATGTGTAAAACTTGAGCACTGCACTGTGGTAGTAAGTAGTTCCATATTGGTTTGTTTATAAGATGTATCACACACAGTGGGTGAAACAGTATTACTATTTACTGGATGACACAGTTTCGAACACAATCTGTTATTGCTCATACATACATATTGTTTCCTTTAATTCCTAGAAGAATATAGGGCTTCAGCCGCCCACGTCTTCATCGCGTTCGGTTCTCTGCTAACGTATTCACCTGGCTCCCCATCTGCCTACATGCTTTCATCTCCTCTTCACATGACCTCTTCCTCCAAGACATCCTAGCACTGACGACCAGCTCGCCGCTTCCCGTTCGAGGTTCCACTCGATGGTTTGTTTTCTCAGAGTATGGTCGGCCAATCTACCTCCATTTCTTCCTGCCTATTTGTTGCACTATCGGTTCCTGCTGGGTTGGTTCACTCACCACCAGAGATCCCTGTTCCTGATCTTTTCTGCCATCTGATCTTGAGTAGTATTGAGCGAAGAAAGCTAGCTGTTGATGAAGGTCTGTAGTTTGTTTGAGGTGCTTTTTATGACGCGCCAAGTCTCTGATCCGTGTAGTAAGTAGCACTGACTTCACATTAGAGTTGAAAGTCAGGATCTTATTTTTGATGGTGAGTGCTGTTGACCTCCACACAGACTTGAGAGAAATGAAAGCTTGTCTTGCTTTCCCGATCCTCACTGGTTTGATATCCTCTTCAGTTCCGTTCGCCCGTAGTTGAGTCGATGCTTCCCACGCTATATATCCAAAAGAAATACGTCTAACCTATGTACCTGCCGTGACCATCATAAACAGACGATTATTTTAATAGTGACTATGCCGTTGCCTTTCATATCCGAACTTCCTGTCTAATTTGTCATTTTATTATTCTACATATGTAATCCCTAATTGCCCAGATAATTGTTCGTCATATTAGTTATGATCCCACTAGATTTTTTATCCAAACATCCTGTCTGTTGTTATTTCTACATTTCTAACGCCTAATTGCACAACAACATGTCAATCTCTTCAGTAATTATGAAGCTACTTTGTTTTACTATGGCGCTATAAGTCCTAATTGTGATTTTATTAATCTGACCCTTGACCGGAAATTATTCTGGAACTTTCCCATCCACTTGTTATAAATACGCGAATGTACAGCCTAGTTGACGGTGACTTCGTCGAAAAGAAAATTTTCTTTGCTACAACCGTCTTTTTAATCATTTCCGATATATTTGAACAGTAAGCTGTACATTATTACTATTATTATTCTCTTGGTTTCTAAGTGGAACGAAGGGTATCATCAACAGAATATTTCTGTTTTATAGAGTCATCTCTTTAGCTAGCTAGCTGACTCTACAATCGCTCTCAGAGGCTTTCATCTCCTCCGCTGTCATCATCGAAGTGACGCCTTACTACTCGTCGTTTCCCATTCGGGTTCCACTTGACGGTTTACTTGGTGGCGCTATGTGTCACTCAAAGTATGACCGATCAATCTATTTCCATTTTCTTAGGATTATTTTTTTTGGGGGGCATGGGTCTTACGTTGGTTCCTCCCTCAGAGTTTATTACTGCTAATTCTCTCTGAAAGGCCATTTGATCTTCATTAAGGAGCCAGCCAGTGATGGGAACAGCTGTTGATAAATGTCTGCGGTAGCCTATGTTTGGGAATGCTTTTTGTGATGCGCCAAGTCTCTGATCCATATAGAAAACTGACTGAGTCAAGATTGGTTGGTCTGTCTGTCTTCGGGTACCTTAAACAGAGAGAGGGTTAGTGTTGCGTGACCGCAGAGCCCAGGGGACAACTACTTGACGCCAGCCAGTCACACACGGCATGTATGAACTGGTTTTTTGGTTTGGTTCCGTATTAGTACTTACCATCGGTAACGGACCCCCGTAAGGTAAGTCGGGGTGTACAGTTGTTGGGGTCGACCTTTTCTAAACCCCTCTCTCCAGAGTGGGGAGACAGCATAGCTGGCTGGTATGCTGGTCATCTGAGGGAAACACATTACTGCTGTTACATCCCTGTTCGCCAGCAGGGTGTTTGATTGGTGTTGAATATCCGATATTTTACTTAGTGCTGAAGTGTAGAAGATTTCTAAACTGATCTCATAGTGATGAAGATCTGCCTTGTCTTTCTGATACCGGTTGTCGTCAACATCCTCTGCCGTGTCACTTGTAGTTGATTGCATGGAGGATTTCATCATGAGCTGATATCAGCTAGAGAACCGCTGGAAAACCGGCTGGGAGTACTGGACAGCTGGCTGTTTCGTCCTAGTTTGGTACTCTTCATCAGTACAAACCCACCGGGGTTCGAGCCCAGGACCTTCTGGTTACAAGGCAAGCACGTACACCAATACTTGTAGTTGAAACAATTCTACCTAGATAAGTGAAGGACGTGACGTCGTTTAAATTTTTCCCGTTGGTAGTGAGTAATGCTGATTGTTGGTTAGTCGGTTATCTTTATCACCTCTGTCTTCTCTATGTTCACTTGACATCCTGTCTTCGCTGCACTGCTTCACCTACGAACTTGTTGATTTTCGCCTGTAAGTCTTTGGGATTGTGTAACACTAGACAGAAGGCGTTCGCGAAGTCCAGATCTTTTAGAGTCTCCTTGTCAGTCCAAAGTATTCCTGTCTTCTCATTCCCCACGAACTGTCCTTCGTATAATGAAGTCCACTACACCTAGGAATATCATTGGTGATATTAGGCAGACAGTGTTGTCTTACTCCTGTCTTCACTCCAAAGGCTTCGTCAAATTTTCCCTTGTGGACCACCTGGTACGCGGCATTGTCATATAGCTGTTGAATGGGATTGGTAAAGGACTGAGGCTCGCCACAGTGTTGAAGTGATTTCGAAAGTACTTCGAGGTCAACGCTGTCGAAGGCCTTTGCAAAGTCAACGAAGTTGAAGTAGAGACTTGACTGTCGGTTCTATACTCTGTGATCAAATGACTATCTCACCTTTCCGATAGATAGCTGTTATAAAGGAACATGAATTTAATTAAGCAAAACAGTTTCATATTAACACTAACACTATACGAAGTCAATTCTGTATGAATATTAAAAAGTGACATACCGTTTCTCTAAGAATGATTTCCCATTTTGTGAATTCTGTCCTAAGGCTGTAGCTTTCCATGGGAAGTATGTACCCTAGAATAAGTATGTAAAAAGTAGAGATTAAGACTACAGAATGACTGGTTTCAACGTAGAACTTTGCACAGAGGTGCAGCAGTTCGAGTTGCTGCTCTCCATCCATGTAGCACACAAAACAACAGAAGTGAGTAAAGAGAGAGAGAGCTAACAAACAGAAGTGTTGTGGAAGCAAGAAAAGTAATGAGGGAAAACACTGGGGTTTAGCGGATATGACAAATCACAAAGAGTAGTGAATCCATCTATGCCATCTTTTTGATGTGGTTGTATTCTCTGAGTAGCTGGATAGTTAATTTGCGAAGCTTCCATCGCCCTACTAGGCGACATCTTCAGTGCATACTTCAATTGCTTGAAGTGAGCTTTCGGATTTCTCCACGAGTTCATTATTAATCATCTCTCCTGGTGGGTGACCTTGAACGTGACTATTCGATTGGTTTCCTGTGTTTTCACACCTTGTAGGCTACTTACTTGTATTGGAACTGATTGTTCCTTTGACTTGAACTTTGACCCTTTGTGTGTGTGTGGTTTCTTTCTTATCGGTTGATAAATTTTGTCTATCTCGATGTTGATTAGTGATTCACTGGAATACCAGACAGTCTTCTAAACATTCTCTAGCATTCTTGCTGTTTCCTCTGTCTAATATTTGAACGTTGTCCCAATCGAGTTGATGTCCGTGGTTGTCTGTATGTATGTACATGTATGTACACGTCCAAGGTCACCAGGAGAGATGATTAATAAACTCGTGGAGAAATCTAAAAGCTCACTTCAATTCAAATTGAAGTATGCGCTGAAGACGTCACCTAGTAGGGCGATGAAAGCTTCGCAAATTAACTATCCAGCTTAGAGAACACAACCACATCAAAATTATCCACCTGAGCTACAAATCTTCTCTATCATATCTACGCCAGCATTGAGAACGATTTTGAGTCATTGCACCAATTGTCTCCAGCCTTCATTGACTCCTACCATCCCGAGAACCCCAATCAGGAAGCCAGTCTACACCTCCCTATGTGTCTGGCTCAAACTTACTTGACTGATTCGAAGTTTTTTGTTTGACCACCATCACCAGCTCTTTTCCATCCTGATCAATCAGTCAGTCAGCTAACACTGCCCATCGAGGAAGGCGATCTATGGCTAGGGATGTATACATAACACATGTATGTTCTAACCATCTTACAATCGATGTGACTTTACAATCTAGTTGACTGATTTTCCCTCTTTACCTAACACTCTACACTCCCAACCTCAACAATTACTTACTCACTATATTATAATACTTAACAAAGTAGATGAAACGCAAATATATGTGGTCAGAAACAGTTAGCCTTTTCATTATCTTCCACATTTAATGATCGCGTCTCACAGCCATAAACGAGGATTGGGCGGACTGCTTCTGTGCAGTACACACGTCCTTTAACTGGTAGACAGCTGGATTTCATGTCGACTAAGCCAGAGTTGACGTAAATCGGCAAATCCCACATGAGTCTTCTATATCCATCCATGATGAGATTTCGTCAACAGCAATCAGTCCCAAATAAGTGAATTGGTCAACACACTCTACCATACACCACCCTCTTCATTCACAACTCTCCCCTTGTATCTCATCAGGCAAAACCAGAAGCCTGTATAGAAAACTATATGCTCGCACTAGTAAGTACAAAAACTCAACCATACCCTACTTAACTCGTGTTCTGTGCGATAAAGAAAGCATTAGGCATGATACCTATAACTTATTAAATAGTCAGTAGAACAACTGGAACTCGTCTTTCCAATTTATATCATTTATAGGTACAACGTTTTTCTTTCTTTTCCTTTTCTCTTTTTGTTGTTGTTATGTTCTGCGCTTTGTTTCTTTCTTCCTTACAAACTCTATTTAAAACATTCTTCTTCGTTCTTTCACACTGCTTATCTCGAGCTTTTTGTTACCGCTTACGGCAATGAATATGCTAGCATCTACTTTTCTAACACGTTCAAACACTCTGTTCAATTTCGGCTTTGCTACCGGACATGCCAATATGCTGTTGTCAAAATTAGCTGAGATTACCCATAATCTATGTAGAATTTTATTTATTGTTAATGTACAAACTGGATGCAATACTGTAGTAAAAAAATGCTGAGAATTCCATTCTGTATCACAAGTACTGTTTTGGAATAAAGCAAATTATTATTATTGAAAAAATTTAATATTTACTTACTATAATATTTCAAAAGTATTTATAAAAATGAAAATACTGCGAAACCTACTGATGGATCACATTGATAGAGAAATGGTCGTTTCAGATCACGATCCCATCCTGCCACAAGTAAAGAAACGCCAAATGGACGAACACCTCTGGTAAAAATAAAAATTGAAATGAAAAGGTAATTTAGTAAATAATAAGTATTCACATTACTAGGAAATATAGAATTGTATGTTATGAAGTTAAGGCTAAGAAATTATGGCAAGATGTTTGCAATGTTATGCCCCTCCGCGAACCCTCCTATTATTCGTAGAAGACACTGTTAGGTAAAATACACATGAAGTCTGTCTGTCTGTTTGTTTTCGACATAGAACTTTGCACAGATGTGCGGCAGTTCAAGTCGCCACACTCCCTCATTGTAGCACACAAAGCAAGAGAAGAAAGTGAAAAGAAACGCAAAATAGAGATAGTAAACAGGACTATGAGACAAAGGAATAGTAATATCGAAGAATAATAGTTTCATTGGGTATTACAAGTCACAAGGAGTAGATGCATCTGCGCCAGCCATTGAGAACGATTTTGAGCTAGATCACCGATTGTCTCCAGCCTTCACTGGTTTTCATCGTCCCGACGATCCCAACCAGGAAGTCTACACCTTCCTACGTGGCTAAAACTAACTGCTGTGGACTTCATTGACTGGTTAAGCCATGTTTTGGTTGGACCGCCGCTGGCTAGCTCTTTTCCAGCCTGACATGATGTCAGATAACATTGCCCGTCAAGGGAGGCGACGACTAGGCTAGGTATGCGTAACACAAGTCCTAACCATATCAGTCGATGTAGCTTCACAGCCTCTTCGATTGATTTCCCCTCCTTACCTAGAACTCAGTGCCTAAAATCAATATTCCTTACTTTATTATACCACTTCACATGGGAGATAGAGCGCAGGCACCTATGATCAAAGACAGCTCGCCAAGCTTTTCATGTCTTCTACTCTCAATGACCAGGTCTCACAGCCATAAAGGAAGACAGAGCGAACTGAAGAGCAGTACACACGTCCTTTGGTCGATAGCCAGTAGGATATCACGTCTGTATTGAATGTTCGAATCCCCGGCGTATCAAATTAGACTACTACGCAGCAACAGTGCCTGTACAAAGAAAACTACCTTGAAACCAATCAAGCACCGACTAATCAACCGAGTTCAGCAAAAAAACAGTGTCATCATATCATTTTCCCAGTAATATTTGATTTAGAAGTAAGGTTTATTTTACACATGAGCTCTGCAGGCCATCGGAATATATCAATTCACTAGTAATGGCAGATGAAAATTATTCTTTAGGCAATGGATATTACATAACACAGACTCCTAGTTAGGGATTGTGGGTATATGTACCACGATTCCGTAAGCCACTAATTTGCGTGACTAACATAAGCCATCAGATTCTAGAACATAGACACACTTTTCGGCGTCCAACAATTGTCATATTTCTTGACTTGAAGGCGACCTTCGACTCCGTGGATCGAAAGGTACTATGGCAATGTCTGACTGTGAAGAGAGTGCCAAGAAAGTACGTTGCACTAATCAAGGCACTCTATTCAAACTCACGTAGTCGTGTAAGGGCTTATGGGGAATTGTCATCTGAATTGGTAACAACCAGTGGTGTCCGACAGGGATGTCCACTTTCCCCATTTCTGTTTAACTTCATCATCGATATCCTGATGGAAGTATCCTTAACTGAACTTAACAACTTAGGAATCGACTTGTTACCAGGGAATAATCTTATGGACTTAGAATATGCAGATGACATAGTCCTGTTAGAGGAGGATGCTGACAAAATGCAGAGTTTTCTGAACACCTTGAGCAGCAATCTCCGTATGTTTTGCATGCAATTCGCCCCTACAAAATGTAAGATGCTGCTACAGGACTGGACCACGTCAACCCCTAACTTAGTGATAGGGAGTGAAGTGATAGAACATGTTGACCACTTCACCTTTTTGGGAAGTTGTATTAGCACCAACGGACTGATTGGCGATGAAATCTCACCATGGATCCGAAAAGCTCGAGCTGCTTTCGCTGACCTACACCATCTCTGGCGTAGGCGTGACATCCGGTTATCAATCAAGGGACGTGTGTACTGCTCAGCAGTTCGCTCCGTCCTTCTCTATGGCTCTGATACATGGCCAATACGAGTCGAAGACATGAAAAGGTTGACTGCTTTCAATCATAGATGTCTGCGCTCTCTTTTTCACGTTAGATGGTATAATAAATAAGGTAAGTAGTGTTGACGTTAGACGTAGTGTTGGGCAAAGAGGGAAAATCAATCGATGAGGCTATAAAGTTACATAGACTAAGATGGCTAGGTCACGTGCTGCGCATGCCTAACCACCGCCTCCCCCGACGGGCTTTGCTAGCTGATATAGGTTCAGGTTGGAAAAGAGCCAGTGGTGGCCAAACGAAAACATGGCATCAATCCATGAAATCCTTGACAGTTAAACTGAGTCAGGTAGGTAGGGAGATGCAGACTCCCGGGTTGGGGCCCTCGGGACTGACTCTAAGAATCAATGGCTGGAGACATTAGGTGACATGGCTCAAAATCGTTGTCAATGGCCAGCGAAGATGTATTCAGTCTCTGTAATCTTTCATATTCCTTTCTACCAATACCCATTCTGTTTCACTCTTATACTTGTCAGACTGTATTGATTCTCTTCACTCATCTTCTTGTCTACCTCTGTGTGCTATTTGGAAGGTGGCAACTCGAAGTGGTGCACTTCGGTGGCAAGTTCTATGTTGAATCCAGACATCAGATTTGAGAAAAGAAGTCTACAGCGTTTTTAATCACACTATAGTTCGACTTGTTTCTAAGCACATATTAGAAGCTCTTGGAAAGGAATGCAAGGGGGAAGAATAGATACCGTAGCCAAATGACCCTGAACTAACCAGTCAGATCAATCAACATTACAAAAGGATGTTTTCTATATTCTTCTTTGTAGGTTACATACTGATTTAGGATTGTGGTTACGGTGAAGGTTATTGAAGGGTTACGGTTAAAGTAAGGTTTAGTTAAGTTTAGATTAGGGTTAGGATGAAACTGGCAGCGAAGATTATGGACAGCACCCAATTGAAATGTTGAGTATTTTAATTATCATCATCAACACTTGTTTGTCGTGAATTCATTCACCAGGATTACTGGATCCTAAAACTGACGCATACAAATTCTACTGATTTTAGGCATATCAGAAGTACGGGTTAGAATGGTATATGTCTATAACCATTACTATTAAAGAATGGGATCTGTTTCAGTGACCAGCATTCGTACAAAAAACAAACGGCACACTCTAAAACAAAGTACATTGATCTGTAGCTTCACAGTGGAAAATATAAATGTGACAGATCATTAACATCATCAGTAATATATATAAACTGTGACCTTGATACATTTTATTCAGATTATATTCCTTTAATAAATAGCTCTTAGTTGCAGGTTGATGTCAAACGCTTGGTACCGTAGTGAATAATGCTAGGTGCTAATTCACACCCATTGATGCTACAAAACATGTTGTTTTTTTAAGTTGTTATCTCAATTCCAATATTTAAGTAGATTCAATACTTAATACTACGCATTTTACGACTAACAAGTGAAGGGATTACAATGAAATTTTAGAGTGAAACAAGATAGGATATACTAACCCAGACTGTGTATACTCTTGCATTACGGCAGCTATTCGAATAACTAACTGTTCTGGAGATATGGGCTCACCATATGCCAGCTGGTAAGCTTGAGAAGATTTTCGTGCTTGTTTGACCAAAACGCGATAATCCGGTGACAATCCACTGTAAACCATTCCTATTCCATCTGTTACTTGTTCAATTTTAGACACTGTTGATTCATCCATAAGCTTTGAAGTGAATTTTTTAACTGCTGCTAACACAACGCCATTGGCAGCACGAATCCCAACTGAAGGGGCACCAGACTCTACAGCCTTCAGTGCATATTCAATTTGAACTAGTTTCCCTGATGGACTAGATTTTACTGAATGTGAACACTAATGAACATACCTAAAAGTAGTCAACGAGAAACTGTAACGTTCGCTCATGATGCAGCAAGCCGAAGGTCACTTGGATTCGAATAATATGAAGGTCGAAGGCCATCAAATTTCAATACATTCGTCATCAGCTTGTAAAGGCCTATTCATTGCTTGTGACTTGCATCTTAATGTCCGAATAGGTGCAGACTCTTCAATGAACTTGGAACCCCAGTCAGAGAGGGAGTGACAAAAAAGAAATAACTATATTCACGGAAAAATATGTTTAATGAAGTGTTTTTATTTTGTAAGGGATTAATATTAAGGTTAGTACTAGGCCAAGGATTAATTGGGCTTGGATTAACTTCAAGAGGAGGGTATTAAAGTTGGCTAGGTTAGGATTGAGTGAAAGATAGATTTAGAAAAGGTTAAAAGAAGATTAGGGTTGGAGCTAGAAGAACCACGACAGTTTCTAATGCCGTTATCGCCTAACCGCTCTGGTCTTGAATTTCTGATAGGTTGTAGTTCAGTGTTGCTGTACTTTTCGTACACAGTGAGTATACGTATCGCTGTTTAGTTTGTGGACAAAAGTGTATGACCTTTCCGAGAATATCATCTTTTTGAGTTTTATTAAAGCCAATGGCCTGACTATCAGGATTAGAGCCAATAACCGGCCCTTCTGATACTTTTGAGTGCTTGATCCCAGCCCAAATATTCTGTTGGTTTCTGGCCCTCTATTCAGTTACCTGAATGAAAAGTATTGGTAAATCGCCTTCAAGACGCCGAACACTGCATCATCAAAGTCCGTCTTTAAGACAGTTCGTCGCAACTAGTGGTACCGGCCGAGACTGAGAAAATGACTGACGGTACCTAACGTTGCAGCTAAGTCAAGCCTCTTTTCTGCAAGCAGAATAGATGAATCACATCTTGCTAGTGTCACGGCCATCGGTTTCTTGAAGACGGACACTGCTGACTGAGCCGAGTGGGTACAGAAATTCACTCGTGACAAGTTATCAAAACTTCATTATACGGAATACAACACGGAAAAAGATTACATGCAAGGAAGCATCGTTTGACATAAGTGACGAGTGTTGTGACCACACTTCGATGGCCATGGGAAATTGATTCTGCACTTTAAACCGTTCTTAAAAACAGTGGGTGCAGTGTAGCTGTGAAAAGAGAGTGGTGGCTCGGGAAGCTTCTCTTTTAAGGGTAACCGAAATTCAGACAGCCAATCCGTCAAACAGTAAAAGAAGTATGTAAATATCAAACTTCCGGTTTATATAGCTTCTATAATTCCCATGCGAACTCAGATATATACATGTCAATGTAGTTGAAGATTGAACGATCAATTCATGGTTGTTTGCTCAAACCCAACTTCCCCAATTTTCGCGGAGGCATCAATACGACAGTCATCGTCTCATCGGTCGCTGTTCAGAAAGAAGTCAGTAGCAAACCGTCAGAAGTAATATTGTGATTTATTGTTGTAATATTTGTCCACAGACCTTAGTCATACGTGATTTATATGTTGGTGTAACAATAAAGAATCCTCGAGTCAACAATTGGTGTTTTGGTATTTTCGTCCGGTATTACTAAGCGTTTCTGAGAAACTTCAAGGAAAAGCGTGAGCCCGAGCGTAGCAAGAGCTGGGCATAAACGGTTTATGAGACGTGGCTGACAGTTACTGACAGTGAAATCAGATTCTGACGGTGAAGTCAGTTTTAAATGGTTTTAGACAGTTGGCACGACTTTGGATAGTAACCGATCATCTTTCCTGGTGCCGGTCAAGTCCTCTTTGAACAAGCAATATCTGGAACGTTTTCGGAATTGGGTCAAGTTCAACAATGCCTGGGTCAAACAAGTGACAGAGCGTCTAGGATGCAAACAGGAAAGTAAGTCATTGTGACTTGTCTGTTACTTGTAACGATGTGTCTGATGTTAAGCATGATATGGTTGATGTTACTGTTTCGCCGTTCAGGGATAATAGGAACATCAAACTCCCTAAATTTGAACCACGGTGTTTCGATGGAAACCCGGCTGATTATTTACAATTTGTAAAGGAGTTTGAGATCATGCTGAATAGTTTTTTATTAAGTGATGAATTGAAATTGATGTATTTGATGAGGTATTGCACTGGAAATGCTTCAAGAGCTATACAGCGCTGTAAGTTTATGAAGCCAAAAGAGGGCTACTACGAGGCTATGAGCATACTACGTCAAAGGTTTGGAAGACCTTCAATGATTGTAAGGAACGTATACGAAGCTGTCAAAGGTAACGGCAGTCAACTTCAAGATGACTCCAAGGCACTTACTGAGTTTTAGATAATCTTATGACTTATAAGAATACCTTGATTTCTATGAATTGCATGAGTGACCTCAACTCGAGTTTTATACTAGAAGTAATTGCGAGACGCCTACCTACTCGACTGCAAAGGAAGTGGGTGAAGGTAAGCTCCCGTATGGAGGATGAGGGTATCGAGCCAAAATTTGATGATATCCTGAAACTAGTAAAAGATAGAGTGAATCAATCTATGAGCAAGTTTGCCAGTCTATTACATCTCACCCCTAGAATAGAGCAGTCTGAGGGTAAAACGCACCCATTGATGACGAATAGGCCTCAGAGAGGTGGATATCGAGAAGGCTCCATGATGTCCAGTAATGCATATAGATCTAGTGAGTGTAACAGGTTTCGTAGTACATCCTCAACAGATAAGTTACAAGATGCAAGACAAACACGGTTTTGTTTCACACGTTTGCAAGAGGTGCATACAAAGGTGAACTGTGAACCAGTAAGCAAGTTCAGTGATAAGCTAAATCTAAACTCCAGGCCTGACTCCGAATTGTGTGACGATAACGGTGCGGTGAAGAAGTCTGTAGTTGCAACTGGTAGTTTAATTATATTTTAAGTTTTGTTTTTTTCTCCTCACCCCCCCAGTGTGTCTTCCCTCCTATTCCTCTTTCCCCCCACTACAACTACCCACCAAAAGGGTTTTTGGCAAAAAAGGCGATTTTAAAATTTTATTATGTTTAGGTAGACAAACGCAGGCTTCTGATTGGTTGTTTCGGGATTCCTTGACAGAGTTCTCTATCTGCGAATCATATTTTGCCACGTTAACTTCGCTGTGATTGGTTGTTGACTCAGCCTTGTTCACGGCCCATATTAGTGACCTAGACCTTAACGTAGATTAGTGCCAACCAATCGGCTAGCAGCCTGCTCTCACCACACTGGTAAGCCATTGTTGAATAGAGTGTCACAGAATAGAGTTGCAGCTTCAGAGTCCAGTTCTGACCCTACAAGTTTACAAGGTATTACTAGTCAGAGTGAAGATATAAAGCCTTTAATGATTTGTGGGGAGGAACCAAAATTGTCTACTTCTGTTATTAAAGAGTTTGAAAATGATGAAATTGACGGTAAGGTGAATATTCGTGATAATGATCATGATACTTCACAGTTGTCTTTGGTTGATCATGATGAGATGAGGGATATGCCTACTACTGCTAAGTTGAACAAAGTTTCTGTACAACTTGAACGTGAAGTAGAAATCAATGCAGATGCAGTTTCAGAAGGCATACATACTTGTGAGACTGTCAGTGTGAGTGATCAGCAGGTAGCCCACCTATCATCAGATGCTAGTGCTAAACCTGAGCTGATAGTAAAAGACAGCAGTGGTGGTGATCTTGCAGGTAGACAAATTTCTGAAAGTCGAGCAACAACAGCTATTGATCCACCGCTAAGTTCATCAACTGATATCAATCAGTCGTCGTTGGTGCTGTCATCCACAATGAAACAGACACCCATCAACTCAACTATCTTGTGCAATGATTTTGAAAGTATTGGTGCATTTGAAAAGACGAAAGTTATTGCTCAGTTTAGTGAGAATAAGCCAAGTGTAAACGAGAGAGTAATTGTTAAATTGACTTGCATGAATAAAGGCATTTCTATTTTCAAGTTACTGTTTGAATGCTATTATCTTTGGTGTAAATTACTCTGTTTCTACGCTTGGTTGACCAGATACTTCGTGTGTTTGTTCGTCATCTATATTCTACGATACTATGACATGAGCGTGTTGCCGTCCAGATTTGAGGGTATAGCTGAGAGAGGGAAGTCAGCAAATGAACTCTGCAACGATTTTCCAACCTAGGGCGTCAACCTGAGAAGGGTTGTAGGCGTACTGCTGTAAGTCCTACAATTCTTCAAAGGGCAGCGCATCAATGAGCAGCCCAATGTGCTTGGTGTGTGATTTTCTACACATGTTCATATTGCATATGCTGAATTGATATCATCTGTCATCTAGCTGTTGGTAATTCTGTTTGTGTCCGGACGACTTCCACTTGGATCATCAACCTGAGAAGGAATGTAGGCGTACTGCTGTAAGTCCTACAGTTCTTCAAGGGTAGTTTGTCGTGCTAGAATCCACAACATTTGATGTGTTGATTGTACATATGTTTGTGTTAAATAATTGTGTGAGTTCCAATTATTGTAATTGTTGGTCAAACTTGCTTATGTCCGGACATTCCACAACTTACAATCTTCAACGTGAGAAGGGTTGCAGGCGTACTGGTTTAAGTCCTGCGATTCTTCAAAGGAATTTCATCGAGACACGATCTGCGAGTTTGTTTGTACTGTTTGTATATACGTGTGGTGTGTCCTATCAATTATTGTTTTTTGGATTCATTGTGTTTACTTGTTGTTTTCGTACCTTGTTGTTATTGCGTAATTTTGTTAAAATTTTCGTCGTGATTGCTTCTGAAGTTGTTTCGAGTCTTCTACATCCGTGAATGAATTGATTGATTTCAAAGACAGCAGATGGGTCATTTACGCCGGGGAGGCTAGGCTAGTGCTGAGAATGAAACGCATACGGAGATAATGATTAGCTGTGGTCCCACACGCTGGGGAGCGGGAGTGTAAACGACTGAGGCTCGCATACGTCACCGTTACTAGAACTGAGGCAGAATGAGTGACAAGCGATTGCAGTGGTAATTGGTAGTGAGTAGATAAGACGATGTGCTTGGAGTATCGTGAGGTGGTGCTATGGTCACGTTGCATTCTGCAAGAGTCATTCTAGCAAGTGG